GAGAGTATTGTAGAGACAGATGGAAGAGTGCAGTAAGAAAATACGTTAGGAACAGGTGAAATTTTTTATTTATCGAATGTAGAATAGTAGTCAAGTAACACCAGAGTCGGGCTGTTAACTTTCCGAAGGATCCCGTGAGGCGAAACCGCTCGCTTAGTCTTTGGCTAGTTTCCATTGCCCTAAGCGATAGATCGGCTTCAAAAGCATTGCCCCCTTATGTTTCGCGGTTCACAGTTTGTTGATTTCACCGATATAACTTTCTAAAACTACATTTACGCTTATGCGACCGATATCTCCCGATTTGTCATTTGGAGACCAAACGATTTAGACACGGCATCAAAGTTTAATGATTAAGCAAGACTGAGCTCAAGTTTATCGAGTAAACACAATAAATCATAGTAGACTAAGCTACTAAATGTTGAATTTTAACCGTTCAGTCTGTCTCACTCCATGATACACTCCTGAGTTTACTATAGTCCGAGAGTGTTGTTCCAGAAAGGTATGGGGTGCCAAATTTTGTTACTTTGAGTGTTGTCAGAAGGTTTGGGGCGGATGGGTGGCGGTGAGCGATTATGTGATGGCAGTTATTAGAGATGTATGTACGTGTGGGGGGCGCGGGGGGGCGTGTGTTATGGTGTTTGTTGTTGTTGTTCGTGTGTGTGGTTCGTGCCCGTGCGCGATTCGGGGGCGGCCGGTGGGGCTGCGCGCTAAATATTGGTGGGGCGCTTTGGTGGTGGCGCTGGGCTAGTAGTGTGGGGATGGCTTGGAGTGGCGTGCGGGCGGATCATCCCCGCCAGCTCGCCGGCGGTACGGGATTGTGACGCCGCTGCTGTCACGGAGGTAAAGAGGTAGATACGTAGGGGGAAGTCCGCGGTCGGTTACGGGCTGACGTTCAGCGTTGCCTTACTGATGGTCCTGGACTTGGGGGCTGTAGTTCCAATAAGATCAGATTGGGGTGGGTCGATTGACGTACCGATAGAAAAGAAAGTGAAAAAGATGGTATTAATTGTAGGGCTTGTGGATTGTTTTTTTTTTTTTTCTATTATTATAACATCGCTCATGCTATAATTATATTACTAAGCATCTCCATTTAGGTTCAATGCTGTTTAACTTATGTGAATTGCTGAAGTAAATTTGCGAGTGTGGGTTGAGTTGTGCGTGTAGTAGCTGGTGAGGCCTTTTACGGAGGTTAGTGTGGGGGAGATGTAGGCGATGCTTGAGGTTGGCGGGGCCGGCCCAGTGGATTGTGCATAGATTGGGGCGAGGAGCCGAGGTGTTTTCAATGAGTGGGTCAAGTAGGCGCAGCTGTCGGATGACATAACTTGTTAAAGATATAGATTACGAGGGGGGGGGGATATGACAGTAAAAGTTGAGGGTGATTCAACCATGGGTAGGGAACCATTCTGGTGGCGCTGTTGTTGGGGGGGGAGGAGGGGGGCGGGGGGGGTGGTTAAGTAGTTGTTAGGAATTGGGGTCGAGCGAAAGAGCCGTTGTGGGTAGAGAGGGGGTAGAACGGTGGGCCGCTAGGACAAGGACGCGGAAGCAGTGCGTGGGTAGAAGAGCGCAGCGTAACAGGCGGCATGGGGCGAGATGCCGACGCGCGCCACGAAATTTTGAAACGGGGCCGCAACTTACCGGAGCCTCGTGTGAGGGGCGAGGTGAGAGAGATGATTGAAGTTTAACTTGCTGATGAGTATGGAATAAGGGGTAGGACGGGTATACCTTAAGGGTATCGGTGTAGGGGGTGCCTCGCTGAAGTTTTAGGGAATGATTATTTATCATTCTGAAAATTGCTGGTTCATCAAGAGGGCAGAGAGCGGCGTTCAGGAAAACATCAGGTTTCCCACATCGTAGAAACTTCATGCACCCCGCCATTAAAATCGCCGTTCTCTGGTCTATTTGGATACGTCATCATCACACACGCGCAAAACATTTTCTTATACGCCCCGAAAGCCCTTTTGTAAACAATACCCGCTGCGCCATTACAGCAGCTAATCATAAGGCGTAAGCTGTTTGCTGATTGGCTGAAAGCGGACATGCGCGTCACTCGTTTCTCCAGTGTTGGTAATTAGGACTGCGTACCCGTTTGCCACCTTCACTCCGCGCAAGTATTCCTTCGCTACACTGACGCGTTAGTTAGCGTGTGGAACTGCGACCGGGGTACCAGTCTACGCTGGTAAACACGCATGAAAGCGCGATAGATGCAGCCTAAGTCCAATGTTAGACAGTGGTTAGCTGTCGCATATTTATTATCTTTAATGTTCTCGCCAATTTTATCAGACATGTACACTCAAAGACGGTAGGAAGGCGGCTGTAGGAGTGAGGGTTGGAGTGGATGTAGGGGGGTGGTGGTAATGCAAGGTGAGGTGTGCGATTGAAGCGGGAAGCGGAGGTGGACTGAGTGATTGAAGGGTTCAGAAGAATGGCTAGAAGGCGAAGCGCTGAGGAGGAGCGGTAGGGGGGGTGGGGGGGGTGGGTAGATTCTACGTTTGACTGACTCGCTTACTGATTAGCTTAATAAGAATTTAATAATCTATCAATTCCATATAGCATGGCTTTGTCGGAATTAAATTAAGAAAAAGAACTACAATTAACGTGGGCGCGTCGGGGGGTTATGATAGAAGCCTTCTCATTAACGTTCGTGTCTCAACTGCACAGTACAACTGTTTACGACATTACTTTTATGTATTACTCCCGCTTCTTTGGTTTACTGCATATATAAATTAAGATTCATACAATTTTCAATGTAATTGCTCTACATATATACCATACTGGTGTGCTATGCACTATAGTATGCTGTATTTCTGACAGCTATAAGTAGCGAAAATTATTTCATTAAATTCATTTTCGAATTTTGATAATTTTACATTTTTCCCAAAAAATTGATTCCCATATACAATTCCTTGCACACTTTTACATGTATTTCCTCTAACATATTCAGCATACTATGTGCCTCCTGCACATTACCTATATACCAAATTTTATATATCTAGCAGCCAGTGAAACTATTTAATTTGAGCAGACAAAGCTTTGTGTGACGGAACACGGGCAGCTCGAAAGTGTACTTCTCGAAATTTCAATTTCCTTCCAAGAATTTGACTGCAATATAAAATTGGTGCCATATAAACTGTAATTTTCTTTCAGAAACAATGCTCTAAGGATGCATTTCTACCAGGTCAATAAAATTCTCAGTTGGGGTAGGTAGAGCAGAACCCTAATTAATTTACCTCAAAATGGCGAGGAAGTCATCAAAAATGCGGCCGCCGCTGCATACAAACATAAATCGCTGCTTACGGAGCTAGCTATATTCAGCAAACTATAAAATGCGAAGGGCGCTCTAGATTGCAAGTATAAGTCATTTATATAACAATCATCATCCTTATTCAACTCACCGAAGTTATATGCGCGTGGCTATGCAAACTTGAATTTACTTTGCAATTGAACGAACAAAATCTATACCGCGGCCTTCAGAACACACACTCGAAACGGCCTGCAGAAAAATTAACCCCAGCGACGCTTACTAAATCGCGATAGCTCCTAAACCCATAAAACCAATCATTGACAATTTCATAGCTATCACTGTAACTACTGGCTGGAGATCTATCCAGTGGTGGTATTATGGCGCTTCTCATATCTAGAAATTTTTCGCAGTATCCTGTTGATAGTTGTAGGTCAATCCGCGCTCTCTCGCTGCATTTACTGACAAATCGTTATGCCATATGTAACTATGTAATATTTGAAAGCATTATTAAATTCTAAATCTCATCTAAATCTAATATACAGTCCTAGCATTTAAAAAATAATCTTCGCACTTCGGATGCAACACATTATCCTATATAACTAACTAACTGTGACGATAACGGGAGCATCCATATTTGTAACCTCTTACACGAAATAAATACAAATATAATATAAAAACTTTTACTGTTATAAAATATTTAAAATATTATATATTATTTTGAATGTACTACTAATAATAAAGTAATGTAGTGCAGTTTAACACTTTGCAGAAAATGTATTTTAAAAGAATACGAGTGCCGTTGTGCGTGACAAATCGGCGGGTAGGGTTCTAGAATACAATCATGCCTGTTGCTGAGTAAAGTTTTGCAATGTTTAGTGCAAATATGTATTAATTTTAGACTTAATTAAGTAACGTGTTTTATTGTACTGACACGGTATAACATTATGTTTTGTTTTATATCTTACTCTTAGCACTAAACCAAGCTGGGCAGACCAGTAGAGTGGGAGAAGAATGTGAGTATTGGACTATATGCCATTTATTGGCATTATTGCCAAATATTGCCATTTTTTTATTGGTACTACTAATAGTAATAGTAATACTAATAGTAATAGTAATAGTACTATTCAGTCTATTGTCGTATTGACATACGATACGTATTGTCTGCAATGTCCCTGTATGTGGATAGGAGTGTTCACTGACGTCATATGATCAGCGTCACGTGTATTTGTTATGCTGTCATGGGTTGCAGAAGCGAAGCGTGCCTCTTTGACATTTACAGTGAATAGACCACATGTTCTGATAGAAAGCGCTGTTTATGCTAGTGCCACGTAACGTGCGTGCTGCGGTGCGTGGCGTCTGACCGTACACGTGCAGTGCATGCCCGGCTATGCGTGTGCTGCCCGCTGCGCTGTGAAAACGTTTTACAAAAAAAACGTTTTATGGCGTAGCGTGGTTGCACGTACACGTGCGTGCGTGTGCCCACGCTACACGTGTCGTACGTTGTGTGCATTACACGTGCGTCGCGCGTGTGCACGTACATGTGCCGCTGATGCGTGCGTCGTGCACGACACGTTTTCTTACGTTCGTGCTGCATACACGTGCAAATGTAATGTAATGTAATGTAATGTAATGTAATGTAATGTAATGTAATGTAATGTAATGTAATGTAATGTAATGTAATGTAATGTAATGTAATGTATGATAATGGATGTAATGTGATGTAATTATGGAGATGTGGTCTTTCTTTTATTTTTTCAAGGTGGAGGCAGGTCAAACTGTTACTCGTTCATTCAGCTGGTGACAGGAAGCAGCAAGGGAGCAATATCGAGAGTCAGCATCAACACTAACATGGCTGGCGGCGCTCGCGTCCTATACGCACATGGACTAAAGGGGAAATCGAAGAAAAGTAAAAAAAAACAACAATTTTACTTCTTTTTATTATAAATTACAGGCATATGTGTATGTGTGTGTGTGCACGTCTGCAAATGTATATAAATGCCTCTTGCGTCCACCCTGCATCCTTAAATATTTTCAAAAACTGTATTTAGAAATCAATATTTTCTTACAGGTAGTACATCTGCAACATATGTGCATTCTGGCAAAAAAGTTCACTGGCATTTTTCGTGATATCCCATTATGTTTCCTTACACACTGGTATGCTAAAGCCCCATTGTAATTGTGAGACATATAACACAGAACACCACCTGATTGCTCATACCTGCTATTTCAGGAGTGCAAGAGGAGACTGTGGCAGACAGTGATAGCAGCCTAGACACAAATGTACCACAGCTGGAGGAAGGCGAGGAAAATTCCGTGGATGCTGATAGCCAGGGTGAAGCAACAGATGTGGCAGAACCTCTGCAGAGACAGGAATCTGCAGCTACTCTTGATATCCTGCCCCAGTTGAATGTCATACCAATACCTGCCAAAGATGTCGAATCCGATCCAGTACAGAAACTTGTACGTGTGTGAATAGTTTGTTCTCACATGTCAATTGCTTTGTAGTTATAAGTACTTACTATGAGTATTTATAAGTGATAGTAAATGGCTTCCTCTGAAGCTTTTAGGTGTTTAATTGTATCAGCAGCAGTTAGAGCACTTTTTGAATGTGATCTGCAACTGATCAATCGTCTTGGTTCATGTAGCTGTTTTGTCATACAGAAACATCTAACTATCCAAATTTTATAAGTGTTGGCATATGTATCCAATGACTCACATTTCACTTTTAAGTCATGCCATTTTATTAATTTTTGTTTAGGTAAACCTCCAGGCAGAGAGACAAGAACTAGAGCAACAGCTGCAGAATGTAGTGCAACAACAGCAGCAGTGCCACCAGCAGCTTCTCCATCTTGCCATACAGCAGCAGTTAGAACAGCAGCAGCAGCAGCAGCAGCAGCAGCCACCACAGCAGATGGATGATCAACAAGGGATACCTGCTCTCAGCAAGCAGCACATAGTTCACCAACCGAGCACACCTCAGTTGTCTATGCAGCAGCAGTACCAGCCAGCTTTCCAGCAGGTGGCACCCCAACTGCAAGCGCGTAGTGTCCAAGGAGCACCACAGTCTTCGTCTTACTGCCAGCCAATGTTGAACACTATGTGCACGCAATCCGGGTCTCAGGTGGCTGCCTTGCCTGGAATGAGGATGTTTACTACACAGCCAGCTTCACAGCAGGCCACTATCCACCATTATCCACAGGCTGTGCCATTATTAGCTCAGGTACATGAACTTGTCTTTATTACCTCCGCCACAGAGGTTATGTTTTTGCCCCCGTTTGTTTGTTTGTTGGTGTGTTTGTCTGTCAACAGGATATCTCAAAAAGTTACGGACGGATTTTGATGAAATATTTTGGACGGGTTGGTCTTGGGCCAAGAACCAATCGATTAGAATTTGGTGCTGGTCTGGATCCAGGAATTTTTTGAAGGATTTCTTATCATTAATGGTAGTGTAGCGGTTAACTCTCTAACCGCTTCGCTTCGTTTTGCTCTCGCTTTCTCTCTCTGTAGGGGTTTATGATGTGTCATCGCCACGTTAAACCCGACTACAAATTAGATTGATAGCTATATATAGGTATATACACCCTGTATGGTGCTGTCTGCTACGCTGTGGAGGAGGTTTGCTATCTCCTATTGCTCTTGTTATTTATAATAAAAATATATATGAATATTTATGCTGTGCACTCTGCAAAGTAGTGATAGTAGTAGTAGTGGGTGGTGGTGGTGGTACTTGTAATAGTAGCAATAGTAATAGTAGTATAAAAACTATTGTTTGTACATGCAATTTGGATGTTTTCTTAGGAGCGTCTACAGACGTGGCAACTGCATCCTAACATTCAGCAGCAGCAGCAGCCTCAGCAGCAGGAGCAGCCACAGCAACAACAGCAACAACAGCAAGAGCAGCAAGGACAGGAGCTACATGTTCCTACACAAATAGAGCCCCAGACCCAGACCCAGAGACAACCCATGATTAAACAAGGCACTGTTCATAAACGAGCGAGGAAACGGAACAAAAGTTCCCAGCAGGTATGGTTCCCAAGAATGGTTACCAAATAAACGTTTGCAAAACACCCCCAAGAGAACCTACCGTGTTTTTTTCAAAATAGTCGCTACTCTTGGGTTTTATAAATGGAAAGTGGAACCATTTTTTAACACAACCACAACATGTTGGCAATACCATTTACTTTACAGGCATTTAGATAAATGATAAAGAATAGGTCTATTGTTATTTTATTTACTTATATCACCTTCAGTCAAATAAGTCATCTCAAAGAAACCTGTAATATGCCTGTAAAATAATTATGTACACGCTTGTTTCAGAACCAGAGCATTCAACAGTTGTTGCAACAAATCATGGCCCTTAATGCAGCTATTGATGGGCAAGACCCAGCTGAGCCTGAGTCCGCTGTACAAGAAGGCATTGGTAATGGCGATTCTTCCCACAAACCAGTCACCAGCAGCATGCAGCCATCTTATTCAGCAACCCCGCACACGTGCGGTGATACGGGCCGGCGGACAACAGTGACAGCCCACCGGGATGGCTGTAATGACAGTGCCGACGCGAATCACATCAGTGTATTCGACGATCAAACTTTGTCCGGTCGGGTGTCAACTGAGCGGATGACCGGGATCTGCGGAAGTCCTGGCACGGCTCAGCCTGGTAGCCAGCTGCCACTCCAGGCTCAGTCAGGCACCCAGAGCCTGTCACAACCTCGAGGTACTTCGGGAAACGTGTTGATGCCAGGTCACGGTGTGCTGGGTGCTCAGCAGCAAGTCTTTAGTCCGGGCTGCAGAGCTGCGTGGAACCAGGATTCGACCAGTGGCTCGTTTCATGCGGGCATGCTGTCGTCTGTCAAACAGCTGAACGATTGCAGCATCGTGATTTCGACAGTGCAAAACACGGCGTCGAATCCCGCTATTAATATCCTTCACAGTGAAAACTCCCAGTATGCTTTTGGATTCCCTGATCATGGTGCAAGCAATCAGCCAAGCTCACTAGAGGGAGCCAGCAGAACTAATTTCTTGTCGTGGAATGCTGATACCAGCAATGATGCCGCGAAGCAACATCTAGGCATACAAACACAGACACGGTCAGATGGCACGGTAACTCTCTCAGTGCCAATTAACACTGCCGGAACTGTAGATCTCAGCAATATGGTGGAAGCACTAATGTCTGCTGCCAATGCTCTAAGAGTCACACATAGTGAAATCCCAGGCAATACACAATAGCAGAAATTTATATGTAGAGATGTCGATAGTGAAATGTCGGTGTCAAGAGTTGTTTGCAATATATGGGTTTTCCTGCCAATAGCCGCAATGATTTTAAAAACATCCATCACATAGATCATGTCTCATATCACTCTAGTCATGTATTCCTAATAATCTTCACCAATGGATGCAATGCAAAATGTTTAACCCAATTGCCCACACTTTATCGAGCCCAGTGTATATCTGTAACTGATCATTTTATTTGTTAGAAACAAATAATACACCATGATGATAATAAGTTTATAAGCAGTTAGAAACGTCAGCACACCGATGCTAATAATTCTTAATTTATCTTGAGACATATAGATCAGTACCCATTATTGGTAACAGGGTGCGAACTTAACCTTCTTTGTCTGGTAGTCGTCTTATAATATATTACTAACCCGACCAGGCTGTGTGACTAACGTCAATATACAAATTTTAACCCTAGCAATACCGTTTCTTGGAGCTATTATATTACAAGATTTTGCAATCTGGCAGTCCTGGTAGATCAGAATTATATACCAGTTCATAGCATAAGCAACAAACATGGCTGCATCCATGTTATTGATCAACGTGCATAATAACGAATACTGGTTTGAAGTAGAATTTATAACTGATGGTTTAATTTACTTTAATTGAAGTTATAACAACTTGCAGGAAACAGAAATAATTTTCTGACAGAAAAACTAATTTTCTGACAGAAAAATAGTATGACAGTTGGGTAGTCAGTCCACCAGACTAGTTGCTAGTGCAATCTACTCATCTGTGAGTAAATCTGGTAGTTGGGGACCAATGGACTACCGTTAATTTCGAACTCTGGGATAATTGTGTAACACAGACAATAAGTCATGTGTCATTATGTTTCAAATTGCATATAGTTGTTACTCCTATGGGAGAGGTTTGAACGTCCCATTTTGGAGCACGCCAGTCGACCTACATTCGAGCAACGTCCACTTTTTGGCAAAAATGGAAATGGCCATAAGTCAGTTTAGGTTCAATGGATTTTGCTCATTTCTGGTATGTGAATAAATGAGGACTGGCCCCAAAACATATCACAGGTTTAAAATTTATTTTTTTAATTATGCAAATTAGGTAGATTTTGGCAATTTCACTATGCATTTCAGTGTCTGCCTGCGGTCAACGATAACTCAAGAACCGTTTGACCCACATGTTTCAAATTGCATTCAGTTGTTACTCCTATGGGAGAGGTTTGAACGTCCTACTTTGGAGCACGCCAGTCGGCCTACTTTCGAGCCACGCCCACTTTTTGGCAAAAATGAAAATGGCCATCTAAATTCATTCGATTTTCGTTACATTTTGGTATGTGAATGTGTAAGGCTAGACCCAAAACTAAAAAAAAACTAACTAAATTTTGTCGTGGTAGACCCATAAAATATTTGTCGTGGCCAGATCTTGCAACATGCCTGAAATGTATTTTGAGTGGTCACAAGGGCTACGACACATTAAAGATGGTTTGGCGATGGGATCGCAACAGAAAAAAAAAGATATGTCGTGGGTGTGTCGCAAGTCAGTCGTGCGACAGTCGTGAGTTGTCGGGCATTGTCGGGGGGCTGTTTTTCACGTGAACAGGTCGTGGTTCACTCGTGGGATGCACGTGCGACTGTCGCAAGACTATCGCACAACAGTCGTGGGTCACCCATGGGACGCTCGCACGTCCGTCTCCCGACTATATAACGATGCCCGGTCTGTTGCCTGCCATTTGCTCTCGAGATTTTCCAGTGGAAACATCGACGTTCTGCCCGAATTTTTGACATTTGTTTGACATGCGAGGGGCGACACTCAGCAACTGCTCCTGAAACATGCCAGGCTCCATCCGCATGAACCCCACCGGCAGATTCCCGCTCCAGCTCTTGCATCAGAGTACTATACTGCCCAAACGTCTGGTGCCGCTCGATCCACGGCCGAACCCACCAACGTCGGGGGTTTCGCCAGTTCCTGAGCTGCTCCCGGGCTATTAGGCTCGTGCTGGAGTTCCGCCAGATGCCCCTCAGCAGGGCCACGCGTAGTCGCTCAGGTGGAATAGCCATCCTCTTTCAGCGCCGACAGACAGTTTTTATTTTGAAGCGTTCATTCGCCCGAGCTATATACCCCTCAAAAAACGAAAATATGTTGCAAGACCAACGCAAGACTAACGCACGACAGACTTGCAATGTTGTGCGAGCCTCTTTACGAAATATAATATTCGTGAGACAATTGTAGGACACTCGTGCGACAGTCGTAAGATTGTTCGACTAAAAATTTTTCTTCTGGTACCCACGACATGATATTTATCGCACGACAGTCGCAAGACTGTCGTAGGACAGACTCACAACAACCAGAAGACATAGATACCACAAAAAATCGTCAAACAAAAAAGGTGCATGTCCAATTTTGCCTCACGACGGCAAGTCGATGCCACGATGCTCAAAATTTCGTAGGAGTGTCTTGCGACGACCCCCGATTTGCCCAAATTTTCTGTCGTGTCGTGGCACAAATGCGTTGTGGGTTCGTTGTGACCAAGGCTTATGGGAGAGATGACAACGTCCTATTACGTTTATTTCGTCTAACTGGTTAACAACTCTACAATCATACCTATATACGTGTAATATTGTGTTTGAGATTCTTCGTTACAATAATTTGATTGGAATATTTTATTGTTTTTATTTGCAAGATATTCGAAAACCAAAATGGTGATCATTTAGGCATAGCGCCATCTCTCGTCAAGATTTCAGACTCAGATCTGAAACATTTATTTTCGCATTAAAACTTATGCATATATCATTATGAAGAGTATATAATGGGAGTTCTCCCATATATACCAGACCTGCCCACCCTTACGATTTTTTCGTATTCCTTACTAATTCCAAGATGTTTTTACGAATATACGATCAAACTGAAAATCTGACGATTTTTTACGACTTGAAAATTAATGTGTTTTTTACATTGTGAGCCGAGAAATATCTGGCGATTGTGGGCGCAGCCATATTGGATCACGCGAGAACAACGTGAATGCGTGATCTAGAGTTAGTCCCATCATTCATTGCGCGCATAACATACAAACAAAATGGCCGCCTGCTGCAAGAAAAAAAGCCTTACTATTTTCATGAATCACAGATTGCAAGGTCTGTATATACTCTTGCTTTATATATCCAGGGATGGGAATGACAATTTGTGTTTTCAGCTGAAAA